CGAAGACCTCGCAAAGGTACGTTGGCAGTGGTGTTCACTCATGTGAAGTCGCATGGGCCAACGTCTTAGTGAACCAAACTTTGTGCTACCGAATGGAAGTTTGCCTATTCTTGAATGATTTGTCTAGTTATTCCTAGATTCGGGTTATCATGTGCTGCTGCAAGATGGGAAGCAATGGCGTCCCACTTGTGCTGAATGCAGAAAGAACTAAAATTATTCAACACCTGAAGTAGTTTGTTGAATAAGTTGAATAAGATCATAAGCACAAAGACATGGGGTACATGTTGCCCGTGGATTTAAGTGGTCATATTTGCCGATCTATCCCGACCCCGTCGCATCCAGTTTTTCAGAAACTGGACAACTCTGGCCGGCATCCTCTTCTAGTCACTCGAGATTAGCGAAGGTAGAGTAAGTTTGGAATAAAAGCCCTGATACTAATAATAAGAGTGAATAATTTAAAAAATAAAAATAAAGCTAATCACAGCTATGAAGACCAAGATGTTGTGGCCTAAAATTTGCTGGCAGTCTAAAGGTGAGTGTCGAGAAGACCTAGATGATTGCACCTTGACAATAGTCGTGATAATGTCCTGCGTCCAACCGTGGACTTGGTACATTAGCAGACGTTTCGTCGGCATCTTCAGTTAGTTTTGCCATTCTTAGAAAGAAGCTAAAACTCGTCCAAAAGAAACAATAAAGTCTAACCCTTTACCAACTTTCTTGAGAACGATTGTGCTACTACTTCTTCCATCTTAACACTCCTCCTATCACATTGTACAGCTTGATTACACTAGACTGCTGCTGAGGTGTTACCTTTTGAGGCTTTATCACACCTCACGCTGGCTTAATTTGCTTGCCTCCTTATGATTTGTCGTAAATGTGCTCCGAATTTGACCCTTCCCTCCGCAAAATACTGCATTAAATTCCTATACAAATCGGCCTCGTGAGTTCGGTGATCCGTTTTTTGTCTCATCGGCCGACTGATTGCCCTCGTTTCAGTAAAAGCAGTCTTTTTCATGAAGAACAATTTGGTTTCTAAGAATTTCTTAGTGCAACATTGTGGCATAACATACCCTCTCGAAGGAATAGTTGGTTGGACGGAATGCGAAACATGTTCTCATTGAAAACCGAAACCGCAGCACTCATACGGTTTTCTGTGAGACCATTTCACCAAAATCCTTCCAACCAACTCTTTCGTCAAAATGGAAAGTCATATTAACAATTATTTATCATGGTCTGTGACAAGTATTTAATGGCTGCGAGCAGGGCTCATAAGCTAGCAGATGTCGTTGCAAAGCAATAGATCAGCCGATCAGTGTTCGTCTCCTTATCTCAATTCGGCAAATGTCTTGGCTCAATCTCACGACAAGGCATTGTCTTTACTGGCCATCTCTTTGCGTCGACACATGCTCCCCGGGCCAACTGAGGACCTCTGTCTCTGGTCTTGGCTGCATCCCGAATGCATCTGTCGTCGACCTCGTTTTCACAACTTGGCCGAAGCGTCAGGGAGACCTTGTGAATCGTACTTATTCCTGTATCCTCCAACATAGTATTCGTGACTTCCAGCTTCGGACCACTGATTTGGTACATTCTCAAATGTTTCGCTGGCATCGACAGTGAGAGGTGCCATCGTCAGCACAGAGTTACAACTTACTAGAGTGACCCATTTTTTGTTCAACTCCCACTTCATACGGCCCAGTTACCTATTCACACGATTCCGAGCTACTGTTTCCTCCAATGTCGCCTGAGAGTGTGTCACAACAAGTTGGTTTATCATTTTCACCAGAAAATTCGTCAAAGAGATTGCCTTTATTTGTAAATTTGATAATTTGTAACTCGGCTTCTCACTGACGAGTCAAGTGAAACGTTTGAGAATGTATCAAGTCAATGGTCCGATGCTGGAAACCACGAATATTATGGCCGAAGACACAGGACTGGTTACGTTCCACAAGGTCTACCTGACGTTCAGACAAAGTTGCGAAAACGAGATCGGACCAACACTATAGAGCTGAAGGAGACCGCGACCAAACAGAAGACCACACCATCTTGGTCATCATATTTATGGCTCCGGTATACTATTGTGGCCCTTCATCAGCCCTTTCCCATGCGCGCCACACCCTCACACGTTTGAGTGGTCTCATCAAGTTGACCACACTCACCGCAAACGCCTCTTCATTACCAAATGTTCATCATCTGCTTCTTCATTGCGATCCCTTTTTCTTATGGATAAGGATAGAGCTTCCATCCAGGCGTCTCCTTTCTGATGATCTTGTCACTTTCCAGTTTGCCTAAACGATAAGCAAAGTTTTCGCGAATTCTGACTTTTTCCAAGCTGCTGAGCATTGGGTCCGCATGGAGATCGCCGGCATCCCGATCCTTCGTTTACTTCAATCTTATTCTTATGAAGCTGTATTTCTGCCGCCGTCCAATTGATCTAATATTCTATCCCTGCTGTGCGATCCGCTATCTTTGACCTTACTCTATCCACTTTTCTGCAGATCATTTGGTCCTACGTGATCCGTAGGCCGACTACTGGCCACAGTAACCGCAGATTGTGCAATCAAATTGTCAGCCTTCTCATCTTGCATATGCAAGCTTTGGAAGAGTGGCTTCTTCTTTTTCACGATAATCTAAATAATCCATTTCATCAAACATGGTCGTAGCCTATGAGTTAGTTTACAGTTTGCACGCATATCTATTTTCTTTGTACTTATTTAGGATAGAGAGATAGATAGGAAGAGACCAGAAATAGAGGGACACATTGTACAGACCGGACTCGAGATCCAGTGGAAGGCATAACAAAAGAAGGACCACAAACGAAGAAAGCACAAGGAAACAGAAGATTATGGATATGAGACGTATTCACATTATTTTGTTTAAGCTGATGAAGGATTAGTAGTTCAATTTTCCCACAATCATATGGGTAGGGCTGACGCTTCAATTGAATTTCACATAGATTTGCTTCCCCAAAAGGTGTTCTCATCCAGGCAGAGGCTTGCTGCGGAACTCGATCCATGACAGTTCAGCGTATATTCTCGACACGTTAACTGCTATGCCACATCGCCACAAGTGCCTTCGTGTCTCAGGGGAGATGTGAATTTAAAGGAAGGCCAAGCATTTTTCCATATCAAATTCTGTGGTGGGATTGTCGATAAAGCAAAGTTTTATTTGCTATGACAATCGACTAATACTTATATTTCGTTTATAAATAGAATTTTGAGACTACCATTGAATCAGCTAAATGAGATGTGAAATTCCATTAAAGCATCAGCTCAACTCATAGCATTGTGGGAAAATTCAACTACCAGTCCCTCATCACCTTAAACAAAATAGGGTGAATACATCTCATATTACTGATTTACTGGTAATCACCAAAACTCTACTTATAAATGGGGAAAAAGAAGATTACGGAGACCGTCGATATGCATGCTGAAATGAATCTAATAAACAGGAATATAAGCTGTATTCACGCAATTTCGTTTAAGGTGATGAAGGACTGCTAGAAGAAGAATTTTCCCACAATGATATGAGTTGAGCTGGCGTTTTCATTGAATTGTGGGAAAATTCTTCTTCTACCAGCCCTTCATCACCTTAAACGAAATTGGGTGAATACATCTCATAT